TGTTTTTGTTTTTTTTTTTTTTTTTTTTGGAGAGGTTTTTGCTATAGGGAGCATGCACTCTCCAGGAAGACAGAGAGACAGAAAGTGAGAAATTATCCCCCCACCCCCAGGAGGAGATGGCCACGCAGCAATCCCATCTCCTCCATTCTCCTCTTGGGATCTTGGGCACGCACACACACACGCCTGGTGTGAATTTAAGCCACTGGTCTGGGACTCTAACTGCAGTCAGCTATATGGGAGTCTGGTGACATAGCGATTACACCAACTGCTGGTCCCACAATTTCAGTCTTATGTTCACTCTTCTATTGAATATGCAGTATTACTGTGGTCCAATCTTTCCATTTAAATCCTGGAAGTTAACATTCAATGTTATTATCAATATTTCTTGTTTCTAGCATTAAATTGGTCATTTTCTTGTTTGGCTCTTGTTCTCTTATTTCTGTATGCCTCTTTAGTTTTCCTGGTAGAGCACTCCTTTCAGAACTTGTTGAAGAGTGGATCTGCTATTAGCAAATTCTTTCAGGTCTTGTTTATCTGAGAATGTTTTTATCCTTTCTTTCCATATGAAAGATAATCTTGCTGGGTATAGTATTCTTGGTCAAAACTGTTTTTCACTTAACACTTTGAATATATTTTCCCATTCTTTCCTTGCTTGCATTGTTTCTGATGAGAGGTCTGAGATTAACCTGATTGGATAACCTTTATAAGTAACCTGACATTTCTCACCAATTTTAGTATCTTGTCTTTTTCTGTGGATTTGGTCAGTCTGGCTATGATATGCCTTGGAGAAGATCTTCTTGGGTTGATTCTATTAGGGATTCTTTGTATTTCTTGGATCTGGATGTTTGAATGCCTCTCTAGATTTGGAAAGTTTTCTTCCAAGATTTCATGGAATAGATTATCAATGGCTTTGTTAGTTTCCTCACCTTCTGGGATACCAATTATCTTGATGTTTGGGCACTTAATGCTGTCTAGTATTTCTTGTATAGTATTCTCATTTTTGGGGGGATTATTTTCACAGTTTTTTTAGTTGTTTTTTCTAGATCAGAGGTTTTGCCTTCAACAGCTGAGATTCCATTTCCTGCATGGACTAATCTGATTTTAATACTTTGGAGGGAGGTTTTGATTTCCTGAATGGCATCCTTCATCTCTAATAGCTCCATTTGATTCTTTTTTATGGTGTGTATTTCTTCTTTCAGATCATGGAATAACTTCAACACCTCCTGGAACTCATTGTCTCTTTTTTCCTGCATCTTCTGCATCTCTCAGCTCTTGCATCTTGTTTAGTTTTGTCACTATGAATATTCTGAATTCTCTGTCAGACATTTCTGTGAGATCTACTATACTGTCTGTGGATAATGAGGGATTATTCTTTTCCCTTAGGGAAGAGATATTTTCTTGATTTCTCATATTTCTTGTGCCTCTGCGGTTGTTTCTGGCCATTCTGTGACAAAATCTATTCTGCACTGTGCTTCGGAATGTGGTATACACATAGAGATTAGAGTTCAGATTTATAAAAAGAAATTTCTTCACTAAAGCAGGAGGTTCAATAAGCAGTAGACTTCAATGTCTCTAAAAGCATTCAGATGCTTGGCTACTGTGCACCTAGGCCTATCTAGACATTCAGTGTGTGGAGAGTGAAGCTTAGAGTGGGAAAGTAAGGATAAAAAAAATAAGCAAAAAGGAAAAAAAAACACTAGAAAAATACTACTAAAATAGGGGGGAAAAGTTTTTTACACATAAAAAATGAAAACCACATGTGTACTATGCCAAGACACACCTTAGCTTTAAAATGGCTTTTGAAATTAGCAAGTGAAAGAAAAGGCCCAAGGTGAGAAGAAGTAGTTGAAAAAATTAAGAAAAAAAATTTAAAGAGAGAGTGCAAGACAGACAGCCAGAGACAGAGAAAATACAGAGGTCGCCCTACCTCGTCTGAATATTTTGGGAGTCTAGGAGGTAGAGCCTAGAGCGTAGCTTCCCGGAACACGCCAGAACATACCTCAGCTTTAAAATGGCTTCTTGTCTGAATATTTTCTTTTTATGTTTGTTTTGTCACTCGTGCTTTTTGTGTCACACCTAACAAGTTTGTGTAACATAAGCTTACAAAAATTGACTTCCAGATTTTCATCTAAGGTTTTTATAGCTTTAGGAATAAAATCGCTGGACTGCTCAGATCTCTACAGTTGTCCTCTTCCATTTAAGTCTATGATTCATTTTGTGTTTATTTTTGTTTTTGGTGTGAGGAAAAGAGCCCACATTACTCCCTTGCATGTGGATATATATCCAGTTATCCCATCACCACTTGTCAAAATCCTTCTTTCCTCAATTAGATTATCTTGGCATGCTTGTGGAAAACAGCTGCCTATTTGGAAATGCAGTTTTATTGAGTTTATTATGTAATATTGTCTGTGGCTACTTTTGTACTACAACAGATGAATTGAGTGTTTGAAACAAAGATTATATGTCTTGTAAAGCTTAAAATATTTACGACGTGGTCCTTTATAGTGTGAAGGCTAGATTGGATTACATTATCCATTGCTTTTCTGGGATCATTTCCACAATGAGAAGAACCAAAGAAATTAACCCTTTTCTGAAATTTCCAGGACTGTCGGGCTTTCCAACCTCAATGACGTGTACAAAACTTGACCATTCCCAAGAAGCTTACTTATCTGTAGGTGTGTGTGTGTCTGTGACCTGGATATGCTAACCATGGGAAGGCCCCTCACTTCAGCAAGACTAATTTTTCTTTTAAATAAATTTATTATAAGTGAGGGTATCTCCGTTTTCCCGTCAATTGTGAATAAATGTTAACAATGTTAAAAGAATTTCACTTAATTCTGTTTCTTGACAAATAGTTTTAATGGAGATATTTGAAATTCTTGCACATCTGTGGAAATACTTCTAAAATGCTGTCTTGACGGTGATAAGTTTTCAGGACAGGATTCTTCACTGATAATATGTGAAGCTAATTAAACAAACAAACACGATCCTCTCTGTTCATGTCCCACTTGCTTTTTAATTCCAAGGCTAACAGGTAGAAAGATAACATCGATTCTCTTTTGCTTTGTACTCAGGGTGTTAAGGAATTAGCGAAGCAGGTGAAGAGTTTGCCAGTAGTCAATTACAATCTCCTCAAGTATATTTGCAGGTAAGAACTGTCCTAAAGATGAAATGAAACAAAACTAGACAATGTTTGTCCTGACACTAAGTTGTGTTTGATAAGAAGTTGAATTGCTGAACAGCTCCGATCTCTGTAAAATTAAGAGGTTCGACAAGGTGATATCAAAGGTTTCTTGAGCATTAAAATCCCTTGATTTTATAACTTGATATTTCCAAAGTCTTTCTTGCCTGTTTATATGAACAATATGTCACACTGAACTGCCATCATGGTCATTGGTACCACATAAGAAGCAGCATTATTTGGGAAGAGCAGTGCATACTTTGACATGAGAAAGATCGGTATGGCTGTCCAGACCTTAGCATTTTCTGATTATTGTGTATATGTAATTCTATTATCCTTTCCAAGTCCTAGAGTCCTAAAAGCTAGACTGGGAGTGCAAACACACATTTCACAGAGTTGTTTAAAAAATTATGTGTCTAAATGATTAATATGTAGTAAGTGTTCAATTATTGTTTTCTTGCCATTTCTCTCTTCCCTCAAGACCCTGAAAAGACATTAGTAATTGAATTCTGTTAGAACAATAGTTGGGCCAGGTGAAGCTCTCTCTCAGAAACCATGCTTAACATAAGACCTGACATGTGATGCGTCCTGCCTATGCCCTCACTAAGAAATTAAATATGTAAAATAGATATTTCTAGTAATTTCAAACAGAGATCAAAGACTGCTCTGTAAGTCACCACAGTGTCTTAAATGATAGCTTCCCAGTCCAATTCTTTTTTCTAAATTGTATTGATTTTTTTTTCTTCCATGAGCAAGAGAGACAGAAAGAAACAGATGATAGAGATAGAGATAGAGATAGGCACCCCCCACAGAGTCTGCACCTTGTGATCCACTCCCAGGCTCGGTCAGCCCTGGATCGTGGGCACATGCCCAGTGTGCTCAGAGAGGTCTCTGGATGAAAGTCCAGAACCTTTCCAAGTGGGTCAGCCCGAAGGAGGTCTCTGGAAGTGAATCTGAAACCTTCCCATGTGAATTAGTCACTTCTGCACCACCGGCTAGCCCTGCTTCCCAGTCCATCTTAAAGTAACTTTCAAATTCTATTCAATACCATGCATCGTCTATGTATGCTGTTTGTGTCGTGAGTAGGCAGGTGTTCGACAGACCAGAGACTGTGGAGTTCAGGACTCCACAGAGGGGAGTGGACGCTGTGGCATTCATTGTTGCCAGAGCCAAAGAGGAGTCACAGAGCCTCTCACTGTGACTTATTTCTAATGACAGATCTACTCAGAAGTGAACAGGACCCTAAGCTTCAGAATCTGAAAACTGTAGAAATAGAAACCGACTGCACAGATTTATTAATCTACAAGATTTCATCCTAAGATTTTGAACTAACTCAGGTGTAGTGCATGAAAAAAACGGTTACATTCTTATTAAGTAAAGGGGAAAAAAGGCTTACGAACCATAATGCATGTCTTAATCTGCACAGTAGAGATACTTAACTTCTCTTGAAGCATTTGAGAAGATTTTTAATTCAAATATTTCAAATAAAAAGGTGACAGTTTGCATTTTTACCTTCAGTTTTCCTATAGTGTGGGTTGTGAACAATAAAAACATATAGCAATAGGCACCATTTTAACAAGTCCTGTGATAGTTAAGAGCACAGATGCATCAGGCTACCCGGGTTCAAATCTCAGCTCTGCCACTTACTAACTCTCTGTCCTTGGAAAAAGTTCTTAGCCTCTCTAGAACCTCATGTCTCTTCTGTAAATAGAGACTCTAACTGTACCTACCTCATAGAGATGCTTGGAAAATTTAATATGTACTCAAAATAGAGATATATAAAATGCATTTTTTTTATCATCTCCTCTTTATCTCACCAGTATAAGAGGAAGAGGAAATAGTGAATGACAAAAGGCTGAAAGGTGACAAGAATAATGTCTCCTAACAAAAAACATCTGGGGAAAGGGCTGTTTCATGTCTCTTATTCTTTAGCACCAAATAAACAGAAACAATTTGTGTTTTCATTTTTCATATCAGTATCCACCATCATTAATCATATGTTTTAATAGACTATAAATTTAAGCTCACAAATTTTTCCACAAAGAGAGTTAATTCCTCTCCAAAATAGGGATTGTGCCAGGTGAGTTATATATAGTACTCCAATTAAATATGTGTATCAATTAAATACTTTCTGGAGGAACTGGAAGGGAATCCATATGCTTGACTCCCGAGGTCAATGGACAAAGAAAACCAAGCCAGACTGGGGCAGCACAAATATTTGGTCTGATCCTCAAGTGTGATTCTTCATAATTGGCCATCTATTTTCTCCATATTTGAGTAAGAGATGTTTGAATTTCCAAACAAGATCATCTCCATAATCACCTTCGAACATGCTCCAGGATATACATTTCCCAATTATCCATTGCCTTCTGTGGACAAACTTGATCCCATGAGTTTCGATCGTGTTCTTATATCCAACAGGTTCTTGGATGAAGTACAGTCTTATTCAGGAGTGAACAAAATGAGTGTGCAGAATTTGGCAACTGTCTTTGGTCCTAATATTCTGCGCCCCAAAGTGGAAGATCCTTTGACCATCATGGAGGGTAAGTAAATGATTATTTTACGCCTTTGTGAAAAGTAGAATCAACTCTCTCTTGGTTGGCCAAACTCTATTCTAAGTAAAGTAAGGAAATAAGTGAAGCCCTGGTAACTCAAGTTAATAAATGTAAAATTATTTGAGATTCAGGCATTATGTTTTCTTATCTATGACCCATACAATTTACTAAATAGTTTTCTAGTAACTGTATGAAAATAAGTGAAATTTCCATAAATCATCCAAAAATATTATGCAAGAAATGAAAAAAACCTTATTCAGTATGTGAATCTACTACAATATTCAGAAAGTTTAAAAACATATTATTTTCAGTTCATATAAATTAATTTTGGTTTTATTTGACTGATTTCAAGAGGTAAAAAATTTGGTCCTTCATAACACAACACTACTTTTAATTTGCGAGTTGAAACATGAAGGAATTTTTGCTTTCCAAATTACAAAATGCTTCATTGTTTTCTGCAGCGAACTGCTACTTCTGTTTATTCCCAGTGGCCTCAGCTCCTGGCTCCCTTTCTGACTCAGGGCCATTGGCACCATTGTTTCCTGCAAACTGGCCTGTTTGGACTTTGAAGAAATTAAGAGGGAAGAGGAGAGAAGAAGGAATAATTATTTTAGTTTCGCTCTGAGTTTGGTCTAGAACAAAACATCTCCCTCTGTTGCATGAATTTTACTCCCTGATTTAGTCCTTTCCTGAAATTCTAAGATTTTCATTCCTTGATCTGTGTGTAAGAGTTTTTGAGTGTCTGCCAGCATCACTTCCACTTCATTTCCTTGTCAAATACTGAGGGCAACATAACGAAAGTATCAGATTTTAACAATAAGATGGTCCAGAAAACTCAATTTTCATCTGAAGAGTTTGGTAGATATGAAGAAATACAACATCTGAAGCTACAAGAAGCTTAAAGATACTGTCGTCTGTTATTTTTAAAAGCCTTTATTATAAATTAGGATTAAAATGTGTAAAATTCAGAAAACCACCACCAGTGCACACACCACACACATGCACACATGCACTGCTCACTGAGGGTAAGACAAGCATTCTAGAAGTCATCACCCAGGACAAGGCCCAACTTCTCCAGGCATCTCTAAAATTCAGTTATGTGCCCTCGCTAGAGTCACCTCTCTCCGATGGGGCTCGATCGCTCCCAGGTTCATCTACTGTTCTTCAAGTACCTTTGCATTGCCCGTGAATACCCATGGGGTACTTTGGGAAATTTCTATTTTTAGGCACATTGGAGCCCATTGCGTTCTTCCTTTTCTTCCATACAGACACCGTGTAGGCCTGTGGCAATGGTTTTCAATATATTTGGGGATTTGGGGGGATACTTTGTCATCTAGTTTTGTTGCAGCTACTCCCAAGGACCTGGGTTTTGCTGCCTGCCTTTGGTTTTGTGTGAGCATTTCAGGGGTTCAACACTCCGCACCATCACCTCCCTAGAAGTCAGTGTTTTGTTATTGTTCTTTAAACTCTGGTTGCTGTTTTCAAAGAAATCCTTCCAATGTACATTGTGCCCTCTGTCTCCTTTTGTGGATATGAAACTTGACACCTAATGAGATAAAGTAATTTCTCTAAATACTGGGATGAGTATGCAAGAGATTGGTGTGCTCGGATACAAGTTTCTTAAAAATATAGGAAGAGAGTGGAGCAGAGAAATAATCCCATCTGCTGTCATAACTTGTTGGGGCCGCAGTAGGTCTCCATTCCATTAGAGTGGCTTGCTTCATTTAGCTCCGGGTTGATCATGCTCCTGAGAGAACTGGTTCACAGCACCCGCAGTTCAGGAGCGCTCACAGAGCACATGAACCACTCAGCCACTTCCCGGCCCAGGCTCAGCAGGAGTCACTGTTTCAAGAAGCCGTATTCTAGCAACCAAAGCAATTGAAAGCAAGTCAGGTGTTTATGATGGTCTCTGGAGAAAATACCTCACCTGACTGCACACTTAATGCACAGAAAAGGGTTTTAAAATGCTCTGGTTTTCTTTACTGCTCCCTTCCTCTGTTTAAAAATGTCCTCAGCTCTTTTTTTCTTCCCTTCCCCCAGCCCCTCAAAACTCACCGAAATACATGTCATTCAGAGGTTTCTTGTCTCCCCTAGTCTTCCTACACTATCGGGATCCACTTACTTCCAATAGTTTTTTCTATTTTGCTTACTCATTTGCCTAATTTATTATTTTAATATTATTATTTTTTGTTTGGCCAGAGGACACATGTGCTCTTTGGAGAAAAACAGAATGAGAAAGCACTCCCCCATGGGGAATGGTTACACCGCCACCCCTTCTCTTCCATTTTTTCCTCCTTTTGGAATTTCGAGCATGCACACACATGTGCCCAGTGTGTTTCTCAAGTCACTGGGTCCAAGACTTTGAACCACACAGTCAGCCTTGTGAGATCCAGCCGTCTTAGCCACCCTGCCACCGGTTGGCCCTATTATCCTAATGTATATAAATGTAGACTCGGAAATTATATAGAAAACAAGAATTAGCTTTCGAGCGTAACTAAAGAATAATTCCATTAACAATGGGATTCTAAAGACCAAGTAACATATAAACAACAGAAATGCATTCCTCACTGTCCTGAAGGCTGGAAAGTCCAAAATTAAGGCACCAGCAAATGCAGTGTCTGGTGAGGGCCCATTTCCTGATTTGTAGACAGCTGTCTTTATGCTGTATTTTCACACGAGAGAGGTACAAAGGTTCTCTCTGGGGTCTCTTCAACAGGACACTGATCTCATTCATGAGAATTCTACCCTCATGATCTATTTACCTTCCAGAAGTCCCATGTCTTAACACGATCATACTGAGGGTTAAGAGTTTGACAAGTGAGGGAAAAAAAAAAATGAAGGACCAGCAGATGGCATAATGGCTATGTCACTGGACTCCCATGTAGTCGACTGCAGTTCGAGTCCTAAACTCGGTGGCTTAAACTCACCCTGGGTGCGTGTACATGCATGCCCAAGATCCCGAGAGGAGAATGGAGGAGAGGGGATTGCAGCATGGCCATACCCTAGGGGCGGTGATTTCTTGCTTTCTGTCTCTCTGTTTTTCTTTTGAGCACATGTGCCTTATAGCAATATTAAAAAAAAAAAATCAAAAACTGTCCAAAAAAAATATTTCAACACATTTAGGTTGGCTTTTCCTCACAATTCAGTATCTATCTGACTGTGTAAATCTCATAATATTTTCCAGAAGGTTATAAACTTCCAGACATGAAAGATTCAGAAAAATATGAGCCATAACCAGAAGCAAAAATAGATCATAGAAGAAGACCCAAATTTGATTGGGTCATGTCTGACAGTGGACAAGTATAGTGGGCAAGTTATTACAGCATTTTCTATACATATATGTTCAAGAAGGTGAAAGAAAACATGAAATGATGAAGAGAGTTTCTCTTTTTTTTTTTTCTTTTTTTTGAGAGGTTTTTGCTATAGGGCACATAAGCTCAGAAAGACAAAGAGAGACAGAGAGACAGAAAGCGAGAAATCCCCTCCCACCACCACCCTCCCAGGGAGATGGTCATGTTGCAACCCCTTCTCCTCCATTCTCCTCTCAGGATCTTGGGCATGCACACACACACACACCTGGTGTGAGTTTAAGCCACTGGGTCCAGGACTTCAACTGCGGTCGACTACATGGTAGCCCAGAGACATAGCCATTACTCCAACTGCTGGTCCCAAGAGTTTCTCTTTTACAAGTCCCATTAGATGGAACCAGCATGTAATGTAGTGGTTAAGGCACTCCCATGTAGTCAGCAGTTCAAGTCCTGGACCCAGTGACTTAAACTCATGCTAGGCACATGTGTATGCATACACAAAATCCTGAGAGGAGACTGGGGGAGAATGGATTGCGGCGTGGCCATCCCCCTGGGGAGTGATTTTTCTCTTTCTGTCTCTCTGTCTCACTCTGTCTCTCTGGCAAGTAAATGCACCCTATAGCAAAAATCTCTTTAAAAAAATACAAAATCCAAAGTGTCTAAAGATAATATTAGATTGTCTAAAAAGTCATGGTGCATTTTGCATAGAATAACATCAAAAAATATGTCATAACTTTTCCAATAACCCAATAACTAAAATACTTGACCATGGGGCATGGTCAAGCTGTAATCCTTTCCCCTCTCTCCCCCATTTTGGGATTTCAGACATGCACACATATACACCTGGCATGATTTTCAAGACGTTATGTCCAGAGCTTGAACCACATGGTTGGCCTTGTGGGATCAAGCCTCCTTAAACACCATGCCACTGGATGGCTCAGATTTTTTTAAGATAAATAAAATTGATAAACTGTACTCATCAGAAGAAAAGATAAAATTACATTACCTATATATTTTATTAGGATTGATAGACATAGCCTGTTTATCACACAGATGCCAAAATAATCACGAGAATACTACAGACAGTTTTTTGCTAAGATATTGGACAATGAAGATAACATTTTCAAGTTTTTTTTTAAAGAAACACTATCAATGCTCACTCAAGAAAAAAATTAACACATTAGTAAAATAATTGAATTAATAGTTAAAAACATCTCACTTCAAAAAAAGAAATGTTCTTTAGGCCTACATTTACTGGTGAATTCTACCAAACATTTCAGGAGGATATAATATCTATTGTATACAGACTTCTTTCAGAAAATAAAAGAGGTAGAGGAAATGCTTGCCAACTAATTTATGAGGTCCTAATTATGGTCATATCAAAACCAGATAAAGAGGACCAGTAGATGGCATAGCAATTACTTCTTTGGACTCCCACATGGCTGACCACGGTTCGAGTCTCAGACCCAATGGCTTGAAAATCATGCTGGGCGTGTGTGTGTGCATGGCCAAGATGAGAATGGAGGAGAAGGGATTGCAGTGTGGCCATCCCTCTGGGAAGTGATTTCTCACTTCCCTCTCACTGTGTGTCTCTCTCTCTCTTTCTGGGGAGTACACAGCCCATGAGAAAAACCTCCAAAAAAGAAAGAAAAAGAAAAGAAAAAGTAGATGAAGACCTTA